CTGGTGGTAAGACCTTAGGTACAGTTTAGGATTGAGTGTTCAGTGCTTTCTGGCTCTAAGGAATCTAGGCAAAATCCTGTAACTTGGATTCTACTTCAAGTTAGATTCTGTTTAGATACAAAAGGTAGTCATCTGTGCCCGGAAAGCTGAAGCATGGAGAAGACGAGCAAACCTCTCTCCCACAACCAGGCACACCACACCAGTGCCTCGGGGCCTGCCTGGGGACCTGGGGCATTGAGAAGGGGACCAGACCCTCCTCCCACAACCAGGCATGCCACGCCAGCACCTCAGGCCCTGCCCTGGGATCCGAGGCATGGAGAAGAGGACTGGACTGCCCTTCCACAACCAGGCACACTGTGCCAGTGCCTCGGGGCCTGCCCAAGGTCCAGAGGCATGGAGAAGGGGACCGGACCCTCCTCCCACAACCAGGTACATCATGCCAGTGCCTCAGGACATGCCCTGGGACCCGAGACATGGAGAAGGGGACCAGACTCCCCTCCCACAACCAGGCACACCGAGCCAGTGCCTTGGGTCCCGCCCAGTGACTCGAGGCATGGAGCTGGGGACTGGACCCTCCTCCCACAACCCGGCACACCATGCCAGCACCTCAGGGCCCACCCAGGGACCCGGGGCATGGAGAAGGGGACCGGACTGCCCTCCCACAACCAGGCACATGGAGCCAGCACCTTGGGGCCTGCTCAGGGACCAGAGGCATGGAGAAGGGGACCAGACACACCCCACAACCAGGCACATCACCAGCGCGAGGAGCATTCCAAAAACATCACCTCCATGTCAGTGGCCCACCAAAGCCCCACAATAATCATGGCTGTCACAAAATCGGCTATATGCCACAACCACCATGCAGATGGTCCGCCAACCATTGGAATGCATTCACACAAGGAGAGTCACCAGCAGAGACAAAGAAAAGAAGAGGATGTCTCTCTCCACACAGCCCATTTCAGAGTAACAGAAGAAGCATCTGCTCTATGATAATATTGGGAGACCTGATCACACCTGTCAGCATTGGACAGATCATCTAGGCAACAAATGAACAGAGTAACCATTATTCTTTCAGAAGGAGAGAAGTAATCTAGGGTAATTAGAGGGGGGAGAGAATGCGGAAGGGGAGAGATTGGACAAGGGGCATAAAGAATAAATATGATTTGTAACAATATATATGCTAGTAATATTGATTTGATCAACATATCTTAATGTTCAACCTCAAAAATATGTATAATCAATTTTGATTCAATAAATAAAATACATTAAATAAATAAATAAATAAGAAGTTGTCATCTGTGGTAACTAAAATAATGTACTCAGTACTTAAAATGAAAAGCAAATTTATCCTGTCAAAAATCATTACCTTGAAGGATATAAGCTGCTAACAAAGCAGCATCTGATGTTTTACAGAGGAGGCGGCCATGGTACAGATCCCTTTTGATCTGTAGGAAGACTAAATACCTGGAGAGAAAACAGAGAATGAACTATAAAGAATTGTTTTAAAGACATAAATATGTAATGTTAGCCTATCAAAATCTTTGTCAGGACACTTTTACTACATTAAATTAAAAAAAAACTAAAAAAAAAAAAAAACCCTCAAAACATACCATAGAATAAATACATTTTCCTTCCCTGGAGATTCTTTCAAGTACTTTGCCCTGGACTGATCTGAGGTTCAATTCAAAACAATATGCCAGTTTCCTTCTGTAGCTCAGAGTAGAAATGACACTTCCTGGTAAAAGCAATGCGCTCCCCCCATTGCTAGGCTTTGGAAGGAGTCAGCCCCAGTCAATTCAGTGCTGAAAAAGAAAACCATACCAACAGAGATGGGCAAACTGGGTCTCTCTCAGCCGTGGACCCAGGCTGATGTTCCTTCCAAACAAGTGGAATGATGGAAGAAGGAAGTAGCCCAAGAAAGAGTTCAGACTTGGCTTGCCAAAAGAATCTATCCATATGTGGAAACTGCCTACAATTATTGGTAGAGGTCAACCAGACCTCTCTGAATTTTTTTTTGTTGTTGTTGGTT